ATTATTTAATATTTCAGGCTGTAATAAAAAATTAATATTGAAATGTTATATAAAACGTTAGATTTAAGATTTTAACTTTCCGTTAATCGCAATATTTTTCACACATGAATGGTTGCAATCATATATTATGCATCTCACAAATACATTAATTTCCCCTGCTGCTTAAAACAATTTTTCCTTTATTAGTACTTAGCTAGTGATCAACTACTATTAAAGCACATAAAAAAAAACAGTGCAGAACAAATTGACAAGTATTGGTATGGATAAAAAAAACTTTAACTGTACACCAACGGCGATACGTTGATACCTGAATATGTATGTATCCGGTTAACGGATATTGCGATTAACCGAGAGTTAAATATAACAAATAAAATATACAGGGTGTTGAAAAAAAAGGATCACATATTTTGAGAGATACTGAAACATGCGTGAGAGTGAATGGCAATCACATAGAGCACCTCCTCTAATGCTGAGTCAGCATTAAAATTTTTTGTTTTTTGTAAAAAAAGAGTTTTTATTTTGTTATCATACATTCAGTTTCTTTACTTCAGTTTTTTTATGGAAGATAAATGATTACATTTCATATTAAAATAAAAATTGTTTCTTTATCTCTCTTTGTTAATTTTTTATTTTTTAAGGCACCTAGAAAAAAGATATCACCATTGTACCCCACTCTCCCCTACTCCTTTGTTCATTACATTCTAAAGATGACACGACTAATAAGAAAATGACAAAGAGCTCAAATAACAAAATAGCTTGTATCTTAGAAGATATTAGTCTTAGGACCCATGTTAATTAGAACTTTTCTTCTTGTTTTGATCAATACTACCTGCTATCAAAATATGTGATCCTTTTTTTTCAACACCCTGTATAGATTTTCACATTTACGATTACTACAATCGGTTTATTCGCCGTCGAGGCCGTTGAAAACGAAAGGGAAAAATGCTAGAGTGTGCGAGCTCGAGTCTGCGCTACTGCGCGTGATCTAGAAAACCGATAGATCGTATTTTTATTATCCACAATTGGAATTTTTGGTTCATAATAATACGATTAATATTCGATCGGTAAATAAGATTTGAAAGCGCACGTATATTTCGACATCCCCGACAATCTTTTCCTGCCGCTTACATTCCCAGACTATACATGGATATCCTATGGATATCCATAAGATGTTCTTTAAGGATATTGAGGATATCCATAAGCCATCCGTTTTACGTCCTTCGGATTCAATGGACGTTTGTGGGATATCCGTTTATGAAATTTGAGGACATACTAAAGTCCTCGACATGTCCACAGAATATCCGATAGACGTTCAATGAACATATAAAAGTAGCATCCGGATTTGTAATTTACAAGATAATTTTGTAATTTGTAAATTAAAAGGATGAAACATATATATCCAGACAGCACAAAATATTTATAAAATATTTACAAAATATTTATAAGATTTATTTGAATATTTTATAAATATTTATCAAAATAATTCATAAGTATTTTTATAACATTAGCTTCAATAGATCATAAATATTTATCATAAATATTATAAAAATATTTATTAAAATATATACAATTATATACTTTTCTTTCTTTTTTTTAACTTTTCTTAAATTTTTAAAATATATATGTTTTTAGTTTTCACTCTATATTGTTTCACATGCTACTTAATTCAAGTTAAATTGTACTTCGAAAATTTGCTTACCATTGCTGAGATTCGAACCTTAGAACCTCTGGTTCTTGAGTCGTTTACCTTGTAACGAGCCGTTCGCAAAACAAATAGAACAAGAACCGGATTAACGATAATCAAACGACTCGTCACGAAACCGAACGCGCGACAAACCGATGTAAACATCACCGACCGACCGCAAATATCACAACACGAGATCATGTTAAAAGTAGTATAAAAGACCGCACGAAAAGCTCAGCGAGAGCAGTCTTCCGAGGCACTCCGCTGAACAGAGCTCAGACTTCGACAGCACTAGCACCTCGCGAACACCGCTGACTAGAACACCGTTTCCTAGACCTTCCTCGTCACCGCTCCGCCGACTTGTTGGATACGTAAAGTCGGCATTCCTCGATACCGCTCCGTCGGCTTGTTGGATTCGTAAAGCCGACATCCGCGTAGACTTATTGGATTCGTAAAGTCTACATCCTTGCTTACCGCTCCGTCGACTTGTTGGATACGTAAAGTCGACATTCCTCGATACCGCTCCGTCGACTTATTGGATTCGTAAAGTCGACATCCGCGTAGACTTATTGGATTCGTAAAGTCTACATCCTTGCTTACCGCTCCGTCGACTTGTTGGATACGTAGAGTCGACATTCCTCGATACCGCTCCGTCGACGCATTGATACGTAAAGTCGACAGTCCGCGTAGACTTATTGGATTCGTA